ACAACAACAAAAAAACAAGAGCCGAGTACCGATAGAGTAGGTTGGTCCTTTGAAAGCCAGTAGGAATTATTTCAAAGAACCAATGCTTCCCCCACTCCGTGACTCAGTAGTAAGTCTAAGGGCTTATAACGTTAAAATTCTGGTTTCGATACCCATGATAACTGGGAGAAAGGCAACAAGTTAAAGGCACCCATCGTCAACTTTTTAGGTTATCTAACCAAATAGTACACCCACTCTTATACGTATCCAGGTCCCAAAGTGAGTGGTACGTTTTGCAGCAACGAGATGCGAGCAATGAATCCTCGGATTCACAGGACGGACACGTTAACATGGGTTAGAACTTGTCCATGTTAAATATATTATATCCTAGCACGGATACGTTGACATGGGCTAGATCTTGCCCATGTTAAATATGTTACATCCTAGCACGGACACGTTAACATGGGTTGAACTTGCCCATGTTAAATATCTTACATCCTAGTAGTACACCTACGCTGATTGCTCTACAAAGCCCCCCCCCCCCAGTGATAGAGCGGTACTGCGGACTTACAATGCTAGAAACTAGTTTTCATCCAATTATTTTACCAATTCGTTTTTGTTTTTTTTTAATTTTGTTGAAATCAATTTTTCTTATATTCTTATTTTATGCTGTATTTGCTTGTTTCTTCTTTCTCTTTTAATCAGTCAAGCACCCTGATCAACTAGGATCAGAAATAAAATCTTATAAAGTTTAATTATATTTCTGAAGGTTTTCATATAAGTCTGAGATTTGGTACTTCGTATACTTAATATTTTTCTCTCTCTCTGGGAAATCTAGGATACCGTAGGGTGTAGACAGCAGTGAAGGGCAAGATATACTGTATCCTTTACAACTGTGGATGATTTTTTGTAAAATTCTTGCTATGTTGGAACTATTTTGTAACAGAAATTGTCCAACGTCCACTTTATTGTTTTAATTTTGGTATTTTAATGTAAGATGGAAAATACATACAAATTTGCTAGCTTTGTGGAGCTGTTTGTTTGTTTGAAGTTAAGCACAAAGCTAGACAATTGGCTATCTGTGCTCTGCCCACCACGGGTATCGAAACCCAGTCTCTAGCGTTGTAACTCCGCAGACATACCGCTGTGCCACTGGGGGGGGGCAGTAATGAGTAAATATGCTACATATTTCGTTTAAACCACTTTCCAACTAGAGCGCCATCTGTCAAAGATAAAAGGTAATTTTTACCAGCTACTTTGATATGAGAATCCGAACAAATTGTTGCTCCTTGTTTTACTTCAAAGCCACACAATAGGCTATCTGAGCTCTATCCAGCGTCGGGAATCGAGCTCCGGATCATAGCGTTGGAAATCGAAATTAACCACTGACAGACTGGGTGGACCAGAAACGTAACAGATAAATATAAGTATATAAAATCTGTATATAAAATCCATATAAAAATACAATTGATTTCTTTAACATAATTATCTTATTATTTTAACTTTAAATTATATGCCGTCAGCTTGCTAATCTAACATTTTACAGCCTGTACTTCGCTTTTGATATCAAAATAATATGCAATATTTTTACAGTTTACATTATCTTACTCTGAAGGCTTTACAAGGGTAATCTTGTTCACGTTAATAAAGAGAGAACAGCACCTATAAATCATGTCAGCAAACATTTGGGGCATGTAAATAAAATTACATCTCCATACACGCTTGTTACGGCTATAGCTGTAGATAAGCTTCAAGTCGCCTCTAGTGCTAACTGGTTATAGAGTAGAATGCATAACCAAAGTTTGTTGACGTTTAGATTCATAACAATAACCGTAAAAATCGCGCACGTCGTCACTGAAGCGTACGCAAGCAGATATTGCGAAAAAGAGGGCGGTATTTCACAAAGTTGTGCCATCTGTTAGGGCCTAGTAAAGTGTTTTAGGCTTAGCTGATGAAGGAGCTTTAGCCCATATTTTACAGAGTTATCGTTACACTTCGCGATGGTAAGTAGCGGAAGAATGGAATTTGTGCCCCTTCATTGCTGTCTATGACCACTGCGACAAGTGTCAAACAGGGGTCCTCCCACGTCCCATTTGCCGTCTGTTCGCTCGTGTTGTTGGGGGGTATATTGCTATATACATATATATATACATACATATATGACCGTGTCCTTCTACATGTTAGAGTTTGTGTGTCGCCATTCTTTATTCAGTGGGTTGTCTGCTTCGTCGAACACCTACAATGTGTCAACTAATGAATTTCCCGTCGCTTTGGTTGTCAGCGGGTGCAAGTCGTGTGCCAGTGTGATTCATATGATTTGGCCACATCCGATGTTTTGCCCGTACAAAAAGCATTGTTCAAGTACAGAACAATACATTTTATAAATAAACTGCTTTCTCAACCTGCCGTGCCTTTTTACCTTCATTTACTTTAATATGCCAAAAGCTACCTTAATAAATAAACAGTGCACTTATTGAGTTCCTGATTACTTGTGTCATTAATTATACTTTCTTTAGATTTCCAAGTCTTGTATCAGAAAAGATCACAAGCGAAATGGACATTTAAAATAAACACACAAATAAAAGCACGGACGTTTTAAAATAAACAATTGTTTTATATGTGTGGGGTTTTGGTTGTCTTTTATTCACTATAGTGAACCATCTACATTCATATAGGTTTTGAGAAACATGTAGGATTGACTCTCCACAGTTACCTATAGGTTCGGTAATTCTAAACAAAGCTCTACATTACCATTTTCTTTAAAATCTATTTGATTATTAAAAATTAGTTTTAAAATTACAAAACCAAACTTGTAATAATACTGCAATGTATAAAATTCATAGAGATATTTTCTGTATTTTTAGTGGCCCGGCATGGCCAGGGGGTTAGGGCGCTCGACTCGCAATCTGCGGGTCGCGGGTTCAAATCCCCGTCACACCAAATATGCTCGCCCATTCAGCCGTGGGGGCGTTATAATTGACGGTCAATCACACTATTCGTTGGTAAAAGAGTAGCCCAAGAGTTGGCGGTGGGTGGTGATGACTAGCTGCCTTCCCTCTAATCTTACACTGCTAAATTACGGATGGCTAGCGAAGATAGCTCTCGTGTATCTTTGCGCGAAATTCAAACAAACAAACTGTATTTTTAGCATATTGGGAGTTTGTTTCACTTTTTTTTTTTACACTACGCACATCCCTAAATTCATGCATACAAATACGTTGAATTATCCCGTGACTTTGGGTTTACTTTACACTGGACCTGTGTGTTTTTGCAGTATTAATGTGCTATATTTTTAATGATTCGTTTGCAATATCTTGGATTCTATGAAGAATATGAAAGCAGAAGAATTGCATCTTGGAGTCTATTTGTCGCACTTTTCTGACTTTACATACTGAATCTTATTGTAACATGCCTTTCATACTGACCGTACAAGTGCCAGAAGTTAGATGCATCTGTACTACATCCTTCTATTGGTTGTGACCAAACAACAAAACATCGTCTCCAATTGTAGCTCTTTCAGCCTGGTTGTGCATTATATAAGCTAAATAGCATGAAGCAGAATTCATAGAAGCCATCTCTCATGCTACAAACAGTCTTAGATCTGTTCTTGCCATCCAACTCAACTTGGCAATGTCAGGATGCAAGATATAAAGTTTTAAACAAATGAAAACCTTCTAACAAATCCAGATATTCGACTGTTCAGAGTTTAGGAAAAGTATTAATGTGAGTTACTGTATTCACCTAGCTAAAATTAACTCAGAACCTTCACATACTTTCCTTCTTCCTAATAATCACTACTGGAGACGACCAAGCACTCTCTGAAAGTTTTATGACTTTGGCTTTTAACATACACTATATTTCAGCCTTGGCGACTCCTTAGTATTCTAGGAAAGCTGGCATGGCTGCTTTGTTGGGCATACATTACGTGTATCACAAGTCATCATTATTCGATCCATTCAGCCATCTCGTTCATTAAATACATTGGCATATTTGACCACACAAGTCACTAAGTCCCTCTTTCTGTATTTGGCTTACAATTGTTACACAATCCTCAATTAACAACCTCAGATGTGTTGGGAGTCCAATACTTGCTTTCATCCATAGTATGGAAGATAAAACCCTAATGTTACCATTAGTAAATTATAAACCTTATAGGCAGACAACATGCCAATGAGCCCCCCAGTGGCACAGCGGTATGTCTGCGAGTTACAACGCTAGAAACCGGGTTTCGATACCCGTGGTGGGCAGAGCACAGATAGCCCATTGTGTAGCTTTGTGCATAACTTCAAACAAACAAACATGTCAATGAGATAGAAAGGTGTTGAGTTCGGAATTGTGGCAGGACAGTGTTTGAAGGCTTGATTTGCATCATAGAATATCATTGATGGAATAGTTTAGATATAAAACAAACTTTATTGGTAGAAGCCTCGCAACTTGTTTTGCACTCTGTTAGTTGACTGTGACGTTACAAGATACGGGATTCAAACACAAGATATAAATTAGTTTCTATCTATAGCAGAACAATAAATATGATTCACGTTTAATAATACTGGGAAAATAGAACTGAGAGAGAACTGAGAGAGAACTTAGATAACAATGCTCAGATATTCGTTTACAAAAAGCGTGTTCTCTCCCAGCTTCCACCAATATGATCAAAATTATTGTAAAATTATCACTCTGTATTTCCATGTAAATGTCAGGCCAAATTTCAAGTTGTTATTGTCAAACAAATACAGAGAAAATCTACAATTGATAGTAACTAGAAGTGTGTGTAACATCTTTTAGATACTGGTTTGAAACAGCCACTAATGGACTTCCACAAATAACAAAAGTCTAGAAATAGAGCTGAGTTTTCATATTATAGACATAAAACTTATAGAAAATAGATTTCATATTTGAAATATCACAGCTGCTTCCTGCTTTTTCTTCAGTTTATCTCAAGTCACTTTATTTTCGAAATTAACATTACAAATGAATTTCAATTACACCACCATAACTAACTAAAGGATCTTCCCACTCACCTTAATTGTATATTATTTCTAGAGATGTAGAATGTTGTCATCAAAATGTAGTGACCACAAGCCTACTGTTATACTCCACTTCCTTTCAGTTGATACTCTACACTCTGACCCAAGGATGGTCTGCTGTGTTGAACATAACTGTCAACTGGGTTCCTGGCTTGCTTTTTCTGTTGACTGAGGGTTGGTTTGTCTACTGGAATCACGTTAAGTGGAGGAAGGTGTTGCTAACAGACTTGCTTCGTTCTTCTTCTTCAGTGTTTCATGTACCAGGTTTCTCGGGTCATGATATACGATCTACAGGTAAATGGACAGCTTGAAAGTCCCGTCTAAATCATATAGTCATTATGAAATGTTTTTATACCCTCCTATGAAGGGTATATAAATTATACGTTTTTAGCCAAGAAATGGAGCTTATGTGTCCATTTGCCAATAACTCACTAAGAAAGAAATATGTGGTAATCCCTTGGTTTCTGCAGACCTAAGAGGTCCAAAATTTAGTTTACAGCAGGGAATGAACTGAATATCATTTGACAGAATAATCGTAAGAATTTTTACCCCTCAGATTAAAGATAACATTCAAGCAACATATTCTTAATCTAAGGAAAAAGATCTGCCACGTGCCCCTTATTTTAGTTTGGTCTTAACTCCTGGTTATAGTGCTTCCATTGAAGTGAGAACCATATTTATAGAAATGGCTTAGATTATAGTTATGTTATCTATTTACATGAGCTGTATTATCTGTAACAATCCATGGTTTTACAGTGTGAATCCACTTGACAGTACCTAGAGTTGCCTATCACTTTTGTACACCAAATTGTCACTACAGATGTTTAAATATGTTATATTGAAAGGATTTTGGAGACTTACGACGGCATTAAATGTCACAGTGTTTAGTCATGCTCTATTTTACGACCGAGAAATTTGACAATACTCTTGTAACATAAATTATATTTCAAAACGCTCCGTTGAAAGTCTGTCATGTCCAAAGCATGTAATTTCCAGGCGGCCATCCTTCACGATTACGTTGCGTACTGTTTCCTAGGTCACGTGGACGGCTTGTGTTACTGACCTTCGGGTTTATGGATTTTCACCTATTACAAAATGCCGTAATTTGCTTACCACGGCTGTGGTATAACTTATTACAGGAGATATATTTTGAGTTTTCTTGGTGTCTCAAGTTTATCCGTTTTTTTTTTTCCAATATGATTTCGTACGAGAGATATATCCATCTTGGAAAATTTAAATTCACGATTTTAACACTGCCTTATGATTTAAATATATGAATATTTTGTGTTGTAAAGGGCTGTTACCCACTTTTCCCATAAAAGGTAAATTTTTAGTGGCATCACACTACCTACAAATGACAAACAGTCAAAATGTAGTTCCGATACATTCCGTCCAGCCGCGACTTTTTATTGGTACATTGACTGTGATTGTCACGTGACTTGCTGACTTGCGTATTCAAAATCATTTTAATATTATGTATTCAACCTTGTATATATAATCATCAATATAGTAATAATAATAATAATATCATCTAACTGACTATAAAAGTATGAATAATGTCTTCATCCCTTTAAACACTTGACACAATTCTACAAAGAAATGTCTGTTACAATTAACACTCCTTGGGTGCTCTGAAGCATACAATCTACTGCTCTATCAGCATGTCAACTGTTGTGTGATCTATTGTAACAGTTATAACGTAAACTTCAGCCATCCCTTTTAAAACACTTAGTTGCAATAAGTATAAATTAAATACTTTAACCTATCTTAATACATGATACAAATTATCTGCTGTGAACTAACAGTTTGCCCTCTGGTGAGGGCAGGTGTTCTACAAAGCTGTTTACACTGTACAATCTGTTACTCTTTTTAGCTCAAACTGTAATTTTGGCAAACAGAGGTGGAAATGTAAGCTAGCTATGCTGCAGTACATACTCTAATGTCTTATTAGAACTATCATCTATATTTGATGACTTTGATTCTAAAGTACACATGCTTTACAGGCATGATACAGAATGTCATCTAATATCTACAACTGATTATATAGATGCCAGATTGTGTCAGCTTTAATACTGTGTTTATCACTTGTACTTACTTGTGACTGCATACTGTTCTACTATATGGCTAATGGTACCTAGATGAGGCCTGAGTCCTTTACTTTTTATTGCAAACCTCCACTAATGTTCACGGTAATCTCCATATATCGACACCTTTTTCATTATTAGCCGTACTTGGTGCACATGCTGTTATTTGGACTTTTTGTATCTTATGATTGCTGAGATTGGGGCGTCAAATAAATTGATGCTCTCTCACAAGCTAATGTAAGGCCCTATCTGCATTCTTGTGTAACTTATGCAAACGGTGCTGGATCTCACAGTGGTATTTCTGTGTGTCATAATCCAGTGAAACAGATTAGAACATGTACTTTGCTCTAGTGTGTACGGACTGTGTTGAAACGATTGGCTTACTGTACAGAATAACAGAATGCTGAAGTTTAGATAACAAGATAAAACAAACTTTGCTGACAGAAGTCGTGCAGTTTCTTTTAACTCCGAAATTTGCCCATTACTTTATTGAATACAGGACTCGAACGTAGACATGAAGAGGAAGCAACTGCGATACATTAAAGACTCTTCACTTGCTCTGGATTAGGACTAGAACTACGCTTCCTGTACCAAGACTAAAGCAAGAGTGAGAGCAATCAGGCTATGTATTCCAATTATAAAGTACGGTTTTTCTAGCTTTCATTAATCAGACAAAATAATCTCTTTGCATTCCTATGAAAATATCATTCTAGAAATCTAAAACGATCAATATCCAAGTTGCTACAGCCAAACACAAAACTGGATTAAAATTAGCGGCAACCAAGAGTATACAAAATTCTTAAGATGTTGTTTTGAGGCTGTCAAAAGTGTATTTCTACAGACACTGTTAAATCTAGAAATATAGATCAATTTTGATATTATACAATAATTTCGATATGATATAGATACTTAGACGAAAAGTGTAAAGTTTCAGAAACAAACGTAAACGTTACTCGATCAAAAATATTTTTATAACGTAATATCTCTTTACTAAGTTGACCATGTCCGGAATTTTTTTTTCAGGCAAGATTTTTCACAAATTAAATTAGAGCTCCTGATACCTTATTATGAACATTTTTGTTAATATGTACAAAATAAAATAAAAAATACTGATATTTTCAAGTTTTGTAAATAATTATAGAATGTCACATAACTCATATTTAAAATATAGGTACCACGTTTCTTATATAGAAGTCCCAATATTGTATTTTCTAAAAACAAATCGATATTTATATGAACTGCTGTTGACATTGTTTTAACCATTTCATGGTATCGTAAATAGGTATTTGGCAATACCTCCTTATCAGTAAGTTAGAATTTTGTTTAGTTAAACTTTTTTGTTTCGATATATATGTGTGTGTGTGTCTGTGTTTTGTTATGCTACCAAACTTTATCATTTAGTTTACAAAAATCGGCAAGTTATGCGCCCAAAAAACAACAGCAAGTTCAATGAGGCACGTTGTACATTACATTAAAATAACATTACGTTTCGATGATAACGTTCCCTTGAACTAAGAAGAACGAAATTAATTGGAATGTACACGTAAGTCTGAAAATACTTTGTCATTTGAAGATTCCTAGAAGTAATGATTAAACAGTTACAACTAAAAACAAACAAAATATGACGAAACACCCTCACCTTTACTGTAAGGTTCCTTTTAAAAATGTATTCCCAAAAATATTAATAATATCACTAGATAACCTTCAATATTCAGTAGCTCAGAAAACATGGGGTATGGAACGATTGCACCACCTAATTTGCACCCATGTACATATATCTATAACATATTTTCAAAAATGTAAAAACAGTCTCAAATACCATCATAACTCACTATTTTTAGTGAAAATTACAATATCTTCGCTATCAAGTCCTATTTTTTCCACTGAAAGTAGCACCTCCTTTATAGAGTTACGTTACTTACGTTACTTCAAACGTGTACTCATTTGCAAGCATTTAATAATACCAGTAATAGTACTCAATACCAATTGAATCTCCAATGAAATTAGGCCCCCTGATACCTTATTATGAACATTTTTGTTAATTATGTACAAAATGACAAAAATACTGATATTTTCAAGTTTTGTGAATAATTATAGAATGTCACATAACACATAATAATAAAGATGATAATTAACACATAATACTGTCCTTTAATAATAATACAAAGCATACTTGTAAAATTCCGTAGTAAAAATATATAGAAATTCTGAAACTTTCATAATTACGATATACAGATTATCACATCGCATATCAACAATATAAGTGATTACAGTAAAGCATGATTATGATAATACAGAACAACTCTTACGTTTTAAAGTTTTCTTTTATTCCAGCAGCATTTGTTTGTTTTCGTGATAAGGAAATATAAAATATAATGAGATATTTGTGCTAAATCTAGCCAAAGAAGGGAAACTAGAAAGGCTCACTCACTCACTCTTAGTGTGAGCGTTCTTTAGTATTTGTACATTTTGTCTACTAGATGGCAACACGGTAATATTTGTAGAGATAATTTCTTTACACCAGATACAAAGCTAACGCAGTATCTGATTTGACACTTTTTACGAAATATATAAATTATCTTTTATCAACCTAATCATTCAACTCAGAAGACTTTCTTTAACATGCATGACTATTAGTTTTATATACACACTTTTTATTTAGTTTATTATTGTTTTCATTTGTCGTTTTTAAACTTTAATTGATTTTCTGTTGTCTACATTACAATTTTACCGTATATTCTGTTGAATAAAAATATTCACAAGAAAATACTCAACAAACATATAAGTGAAATAATCTATGTTTGAAAATCAAATTTACAGCGATATCCATCCTTCAAATGTCTACAATTATTGCTATTATTATTTACGTTATTCAGTTTAAAAACAGACAGTCTTTAAAAGTTGCTTTCAGTGTCTAAATAATGTAAAATGGAACTACCAGAACTGCACAGTTACCACAGCATTGTAGCCCATGCAAGGTGAATAGATATGAATCAATATTTAGAAATGCGGTAGAATAAATGGCTTTCAGAATGATCTTACGGACGCACGCACCATCTCATTATGTACTACCTAATAAAACCACATTTTGCAGTACAAGTATGAATTTATTAATCACTAGCTGACATACCCATTAAATGTTCAGAAAGACATAGGAGGGTTAGATTCGAACGTCGACTCCCGCGTCACTTCCCAGGGGATTAATGGTACATGCCAGGTTTGGTAACAATAGGTGAAGTTGTTCAGCAGGTATAAGCGAACACACAGATAATTGTGTCAAATAATGGTTTAGGGTTTTATCAAACTAATCTTTTTTTTTAAGTCCAGACGTCTTACAACTCCGCTACAAGGCTATTTTAGTCAATTGATTAATTTCATTGGACTTGTATTCATTTCAAAACATTGTAGAGTTTTAATAGTACTGTGTTTGTCAAGAAAGTTTTAAAGGATATATCTCTGATTATCTGAGTTAATGGAATATAAAATTGTAGGGAAGCAAAAATAATATAACCTGAATCTTGATCTCAAATATTAATCTCAGAAAGACAAGTGAAAGGAAATAAAGAAATCTGTAGGTTAAGGTAAACTTTGATAGCTTAATCTCTAAATTTATTTATTTGTAACGTCGTCTGAATGTAGCTTTGAAAACTATAAAAGAGTGAAAAGATAAATGAGAATACTTTATGCATATATATATATATATTGATTGGTACTTTTCTTATAAGTAATGTAATATCAATACTTAAGTTCTGTGTTCTTTCAGCATTTGTTGATAATTCCCATCTTTTAATAGGCAAACACAGATATCATTAAAAGTATCAGGATATATTCGGCCTGGGGTAAGCCTAATGGTTAACACATGTCACGTATTACAATTTCGAATGGTCTGAAACCGGGCTAAATGATAATTTCAATTCAGTAGTTAAATAAATGCCGATATGTATCCAATTTATGATATTTGCCAACAAGACTGATACACACAGTTTCTTCTTTAATTCAAATATGTTTTAATATATAAACAATAATACAATTTACAATAACAGTTAGTACAAAGTTATTATAAACAATGATTTATATACACAAGTTTTACAAACTTACAAGCAGTATAAAGTCTTCTTTTTAGTCTGGAACTTCCTTGATGTCTTATCGAGGGTTCACGATGAGCGAGTTAATTTCGAGTTGATGTAGATACAATTAACTTAATAATGAGCTAGCTTGCTCTGTGAAATTTACTGATCACACACCGATTTTTCCTACCGGTGACGTTAGGTAATGTTTTCGTAAAAGTACTAATGTCCGATGTGAATCCACTGCAGT